TTCACAGCCGTTGGATAGATCTGGGGAGATTTATCCTATCAAGACTGACACTAATGTACTGCCAAGTTGGTTGAGGTGGCTTGTCTCAATTACCAGGGGGAGACCTGAGGTACATGCAGTGTGGGTTTTCTTGAAACCCTGAACCGGACCAAAATTCTAGTATTACCCTGAACCTTGGAGATAGATGGGCAAAACTAGAATGTTACACCTGACCCCTAAACTCGATTATGATACTGCACTAAGTGTCGAATTGGACTGTCTTTGATATGTCAATTAGTGAGATCCTTAAGAGGGGGTCAAAACCTAGGTATGTTGGAACGATCCTAGAATTTATCTGAATGGGTGATCATAATGATAGGATCAACCACTTTGTCAGACAAAGTGAATGATTGGGAAAATGCCCTCTCTCTGATGGAAACCTAAACTGTCGGTAGTGAATTTCAAATGTGTTAGAAATTTGGTTTTGCAAAATATATTTTTATAGAGATATATTTATATATATTATGGTTTCAAAATATTTGCAAAAGGTTTTAATTCCCGGGATGCATGTGAGTAGAGAGTGCAGCATTGTACTTTGCATCCGAGGGAGAGGTCCTCTCTTGTCGGACAGTGTTTGATAATTATGAGCTGAGAGGTTAAGTGTAAGACCATTGAGGGTTATACATGATGGGCTAATCTTGTATCTACCCACAGTCCTTGGGCCTTTATAAGATGATTGAACCCAATGACCATTTAGTGTAAATGTTGGGCCCATTAAGAGCCCATAATGATGGACTCAGGGGTTCACTGTATTCAATAGTGAATTCGGCCAAGCCTTGTAAAAGATGCTAGGCTGAACCCATGTGGCTGATGTGTAGATCAATGTTAGGATCCCACGCCATACAAAGAGATCCAAGCTAACCAGCATTAAAAGGAAGTGAGCATGAAAGCTTAATGGGCCTAAAGCCCATTTCGAACTAGGTTAATTGGGTTAATTAAATAGGGGCGGATCTGTGTTTGGATCAACAGATAAGGATAAGAGGATAACTCTTATCAACTTAAAGAGTCCATATCCAAATAAAGATTTGGATAAGGGAACTCTTAATTTGATTAGGAATAAACTGATCTTGAACTACAGATAAGATAAGGGATTATTCTTATCACTTAAAGAATTCATATTCAAATAAAGATTTGGATCAAGAGACTCCTAATCAAATTAGGAGGTTGTCCCTTTAAGGCTATAAATAGAGAACAAGGCAGATCTGGAAAAAAAAAAAACAGACATTATAGAAGACAACTCAGTTTGACTGGTTTTGCCAGTTCTTTTCCTCTCTGCTCTTGTCGCCCTACCATGTTCAATCTCCAACTCTTAGATTTGATCTTGATATTGTTTCTTGTTAGAAGAAACAAATTTGAAGCTATGCTTACTACCCCATTCGATTCTTGCTAAAGAATCGCAAGTTCTTGGTGAAGAAGTACCTGTTGATCCTACCTCATCCTAAGCTGTCATCTTCAGTGGAGGGAGGATTTGGTACACTCTTTGGGCGTGAACACCTACGTTGGGAGGAGCTTTTTGCGTGGATCCCGTATCAGGTATATCCCTCCCTAATCTTGGTTTCATATTTGGTCTAGTTTGATTATAAGAACGAACCTTGAAAATGCAGTTTTCCAAACTGAGAATAGGATTCCTAAATTGGGGTAAAGAAATTTTTGAAATTTTGCCCAACCTTCCTGTAGGGTTTGGCCATCCATATAATGGATCTCCCATCCTTTCAAATGTTGGGCCCATATTGAGCCCATAGTGATGTACTTAGGGGTTCACTATGTTTAGCAATAAATTCAGACAAGCCTTTTCATAGAAGATGAACCAAACCCATGTGGATTTATGTGAAGTCATTGTAGTGTCCTACGCCATACAAATCAAATCTAAATTGGCCATGTAACACCCTTGAGTCGTGAGCCTTATAGCTGATGGGCCTAAGGCCCATAATTAATATGATTAATTAAGTTGTCAAATGATAGTTTAAATTGTTATGTGATATGGGGCTAATCTGGATTTGAACTTGAGTATGGAGCACATAATATTATAAGAAGATAAGGTATATCTCTAATTAGAGTCCATATCTGATTTAGATCTGGATTATCTCCTAATTAGATTAGGAATTAGCTTTATAAGATATTATAAAAGAGGAGGGGGTGGATTAGTCCAAGACAATTTCATATTTTTGCAGTTTTTTGTTCTCTCTACATCCTTTTGTCTCCTAGTTTTTTCCATCAACTATCAAAGACTAGTAGAGATCAGTTTTCTTCTGATTTTTTCAAGAAAAATTCAAAGGAATTTTAGACTCACCTTCCCCAATTCGATCCAAGCAGTTCGGTTATAGTTTTGCTGAAAACTATGTTGTTGAATTAGCTTCACCTATACACTACACCATTACCAATTGTTCAGTTACATGAGATCAGTTTTCTTTAGACCTTACCATTACTGATGCTATTTGATTTGAGGTAGTGCAAGAATCGAGGTCACTGACAAATAGTCCTTACCAATTGGGTGGAGCCGGGGTAGAAGGACGGAACCGCGCTCCAAGATCTACAATCAAAAAAGATATCAGAGGCCCGAGGAGTTATCCCCGGGTAGACACTTCGATGCCCAAGTCAGTAGAAGGTGGTAGGGAATCGGGCCGAGCAGTTGGAGAACAATGCTAATCTGAGCAATATAACGGTATGAGAGCTAGAAGTTGGATCCCTTGCCTTGAGCGGGAGGTACCTTTTTATAGCCGAAGATCCGTATCCTAGTCGAATGAGGTTTCCAGGGTTATTGGGATGAGGTTAACCACCGAGGTCTTCGGAATAAGATTTAATCCCCAGTGGGTCTGTCCCCATCCTTTCTCCTGTTTCGATCGCGTTTATCCATATGGCGTGGTGTCAACGTGGCTGAATGGATAAGGTAGGGCATAGTGCTGGTGTGGTCTAGGTGATAAGGCAGGCTACGGATATGTCATGGCTTTGGCATGGCTGAGGTGACAGGGCGGCCACATAGGCACCATGTGGCGTCCAAGGCTAGCTCATCCATTACCCGAACACCACTCCCCCAATTCTGAAGTTGAGGAGTAAAGCGTTCGGCCAAAGTGTAGCATAGAAGAGAGTTTTAGTCCTCGGTTGAGGAACTCGAAGTCGAAGTCTGGTTAAGTGTCTGGGTCGGTTCATGTAGGTCCTATCATAATTCGAGATCCGCACACTGTCCTTTGGTGTTCGTCCGCGGGGTGTTGTCAAGGATCTCTCCGATCATTGGCTGAGGAACTTTGAATACAGAATTCGGAATCCAAACAATTACCTATTAAGTTGTTACACATTACCCAGATCACGGGGTGGAAATAATGCATTATGCACGGGACTAAGGGGTGAAAAATAGAGCATGATGCACGTGAGGCCCACTGAGGATACAGCGAAACAGCCTGCATGTGGGCTTGATCCCATGTCTCTATATTGAGAGATGTGTTGAGTGACCATGTGAGTTAGTAGCTCATCTGTGTTTGGAGGTTTAGATTCTAGCCAGGTACAATATATGACCTTTTAGGCAGTGTTTGGCATCGATGTCGTTTTCTGAGAAAATGGCACCGCATCGGTGCCATGTCAGAAAAAGCGTTACTTCAGAAAACGGACTCTTATCTGGCATCATTTTTTCATAAAAAATGTTTCTCCAACCCATGTCTTGGAAATCGAGAAAGCATGATATGAAGAAACACCAAATTCAATGTATTCTCAAAAAACAGACTATTACTGCCAACGGTACAATGACGTAACATTATCTTGGGTATTGGATAATTACTGAAAACGGTTATACAGCACTAATATCAAATGAAACCAATGCCCTTTTTTCAGAAAACAGCCTATAAGGCAGAATTGATGCCATACAAAAAAAACGAGCCGTTTTTTGAAAAAATGGTGCAATAGCCCCTCTACATACAACACCATTTTCTCATAAAACATGCCAAACACCTAATTAAGACTATTAGAAAAGAAATTTGAAATGCCAAGTATCTTCGCATCAAACCCAAAATCGATTTGTCATTGGTTACCCAAATTATTTGAATATCTGGGAATTGTTGATAAAAAAAGCATGATTTATTATGCTAGTTTGATTCGGTTAGTTACCTGGTTTTGCACCTTTCCATCGGTGGACCTGCCACATGGCAGGCACGTTGATGTCTCCATTACCTTTTGATTTATTAGAGATCGGATCTGTTCCTCACACCTGGCGCCTCACACGCACATCCTATCATACATTGGAAACATCACACGTACTTATTGGTTATCATTCACGGGAAATGTTCTCAATGTATGGTGGATGTGCCTGTGAATCGCCCATTTGTGAGGAACAGTCACGAACTATTACATCTACATCTACATGTCTTATTTCGGTCAACAAAGCAAACTGGATGACAGAAATAGTAGATAAGTTTGAACATGCAGGAGACAGGATCTGCTCCTCACAAAATGCCCTCACACCGACCTCACAGTGTCCTAATCGTATATCAATAACATTTCTCGTACTTGTATTTATTATTGATAGGGACATATTATCAATACAGGGTGGGATGTAACTAAAAGATCGGTGTGAAGCACGTTTTATGAGGAGCAGATCCCAATTCCCATGAGACTTTTTTTTCGGGGCTTCCTTGGAGATCAGCTTCTATCAATGCAAATCTGTGACCACACTGTTCTAACAGCCTTTTTCAACCTTGCATTGGAAATATCTCCCTATGAAATAAAGCACAAAGTACGAAGACATTCTCAATGCAAAGCAGTAAAAACTACTCGAACAGGCTTTGCCCTGACTGAAGCCTAACTCCTGTTAGGGGTCTGAAATTGCATTCAGAATGGTCCAATTCTAATTCCAACTATGTGATTCAGCAGAATCGATCTCACTTTCGCATTCCTAGTAGAATAACATTCCCCCATATGAAGGAATGAACATCACATCCCCTCCTCCTCCCTTGAGAATGAAAACCCATTCCAACTGATTCCAAGTTCGATTCTGACTCATGTAACAGGCTATGAGAATAGAACATTCCAATTCCAACTGTGAACCTAACCAACCCTAAATTCTCTCCAGCATCTTTTAGTGACGTGATGATCTAAATATAAATAACTTCATTTTTCCGTATTTCATCTACATTACTACTCTTGACAAAAATACAATAGGGCAAGATGCAGAATTTTTTATCTATATGTTCCATAGGTGAAAGAAAATCAGACGCATCGTATGCTTATATGAGCCTGAAACCTCTACAGATATCCTTCGAGACAGGGCCATCCAATCATCCATGTCTTTTAGCAATATGGAGGCGTCCTGCAGAACTCTTGCAGCTATGCATGCCAAAGATATCTCAATCATACTTGGACAGGAGATGCTACAAGTATGAACTTCTATATTTTGTTTTGTCGGGATCTTTTATTTCCATCAACCCGAGCAACTTGCTTTGCAGGAGTCAACTTCCGAAGTGTGGCATGTAAAAGCATGACTGAAAAACAGATGCAAAGGGGGAAGAAAGTTCAGGAAAAGAAAACAAAGCGTTTAAGATGGGAAGTGTGTGCTTTGGTTTAAATTTACCTGCATAACTCACAGCAATTGCACAGAAGAGAGATAGCTGAACATTGGTGCAATACAGAATAATTGCAGTTGCTGTGAACGGCAAAGGAAGTTAGTACCCATGAGATACGTTAAGTAAAAAAGAATATATGCAGCATCTACTAGAGATGCCCTGTCAAGTGTCAACAGAATTTCAGTGCTTTGAACAAATAAGCTTCAAAATACCTTAAGCAGATATGAGTTACCCTAGGTGGCTTAGCAGGGTCAAAACAAAAAGGTAGCAGCGCTAGGAACAAATAAGCTTCAATACCTTGAGAAGAAATGAATCACCCTAGGTGGCCTAACGGGGTCAAATAACTAGCAGCTTGGCCAAGCAAAACTCTGAGACTGAGCTGCAAAGTGGACTAATTTAAGCTCAGTTTTCCACTTTCCCTATCATTATGCAAACTGGGTGAGACTGATAAAGAAGTCTATCCTAAGTTACTCCCATCCCTGTAGTCCAGAGTTTAAATGTTCACTATTTCGATATAAATGTAAGTTGTCCAACAGGGGAACTCTGCTGCAACTTGTCAATTAGGCTGTGTTTGGTTTGAAACAAAAGGTAGGTAAAGGAAGGGAAAGGTAGGGAAACCAATACAAACCAAACACAGCCTTAGGGAGCTTCCCTACACAAACCAACATATTTTTGCCACATGGAGGAATCGTGTGGCCAATCAAGACTGACCAACAGATTGGGACCCACTGGATTGGTCACATGTTCAATGCAACAGTCCAATATCAACCATGTGGCCCACCTTGTATTATGGTTTTCACAACTAACATTAGCCACAGAATTTTAATTTTTTAATATAAAAATTGCCTATAAAAATGGGCTTATTTTTTTCCTTTGAACAAGGGTTGGGAAGAACTTGGAGACTCCTGAGTTCAAACTAATTTGCCATGTAGATACCTTTGTTGTTTAGAGAAGGTCACCAACAAACCTGCTCTTACACGTTTGCCACCATATATCAAAAAAAAAATGATCTCAATCATGTTATGCATCTTACATATGTTGATATATGGTGACTGATAGTACAGTATTCCCCTCTACAAGCCTGCCATTAAGCTCTACTGTAACTTCACCTTTTGGCACAGAGGACATTTTGGATATCAGGGCATACCTACTTGCACCCCATTGTCCATCTTCTTTGCATTTTATATCTGGGAAAAAAGGCTCATATGGTGCTTCAGGAAATTCTAACATCTATTTCATCTCTTGGAAATACTAAATAATCAAAGGATCAAAGCAGTTCTACTAGAGGGTTCCACAATTTCTAAAAGTTTAGCTACAGGACTTCCGTTCATGAAGATTGGAATCCAGATAGTAGCTTCTGGACAATATAGATCTGAAAATAAAAAAAAAATAAAAAAAAGAACTATTGGTTGGAGGATAAGCACTTCTTTTTTTATAATGAATTTGAGAATTAAGCATTTGAGTTGCACTAACTGTCTTATTTATATTGAGATTTCTTTTCCAGCATTCCATATATTTATAGTGACAGCAGAAATTGAATTTTTACTCCATTCAAAGATCTGGCCAAGGCTCCACGGGGTAGAAAGTAGAAACCAAACTATGAAGAACCTTGCAAAAAATGCAAAGTTCTTTACTTGGTAATGGCATGAATAGCAAAAGGGCATCCCAATCTTCAACTTTTACATTAGGATGACGCTTGAGATCCATAAAAGGAAGGTTAATTGTTAAATTGATATGTCCCTCCCCCTAACTCTTAGTCAACAAAACCTAAAGTCGTAACCAAAATCCAAAATTTGGATGGGGATATTGAATCCAACACCTAGAGTGGGAAATTCAACTTGTTCCAACTTGCTATCATACATAAATTATGTGAATGCTTACTGTTTAGGTGTCACAAATAGGGAGGATCAATGAGAAAGCCACTAAACGAAATGATTGGCATAGTGGGCTTAGTGGCATGTTAAATAATGAAATGGATCATTCAGCTTTTAGCAGATCTAGATAGGTGATGATCAACCTCAATACATGGACTGCAGAAATACACAACTCTGAATTAGAAAATACTCCAATTATGGAATTGGATAATATAAGAACTTCATGTCTGGACTTTGTTAGTTTGCTTCAACATGATTTTAGAATTTTTCTAAAGTAAAGAGATACATCTACTGTGCTGTGTAACCTGCATGTAACAATGAGGTTAAAACAAAAGTTCTATAAGACCATCATTGCTATATGGGACAGAGTAATGGGCATTGGGCAATTAAGAATTAATATTTTCATAAAAAAAAAAAAAGAGTAGCTAAAATAAAGATCTTGAGATGGATGAATGCCAAGACCAAAAAGGAGAGAATCATAAATGAGCACATTAAAGAGGACTTAGGAGTACTTCAAATAAGTGACAAGATGGGGCAAATTGAGATAGTTTGATCATATGTACAGACGAGCAACGGCTGCACCAATGAGGAGTGAAATGGTGGAATCAGAAGGCTCTAAAGAGCAAGGGGAAGACTAAAAAAAATTGTCTGAAGTGGTAAAAAAAAGATTCAAAGACCTATAATTTGAGAGATAGCATGGCTCTTGGTAGAGCACAATGGTGGGCAGTATCTGTGTAATCAACCCCAAATAGTTGGGATTAAGGTGAGTTGGGTTGGGCTCTAAACAAGGAGAATGTGATCATTCAATTAGCCGACTGCTTAATGGTGCTAGAAGAGCAAAGTCAAGGTTGAAAAGGACATCTTATCAGTTGAAGTAGTGAAAAATGTTCTAAAGCTCACAATTTGACAGACCTTTTTGATTATTCTCATAATTTGACAGACTTGGTGGAGAGAAATAGTGAAACAGGATTCACATTGCCAACCCCATATAGTTTAACAGTTTTTACATGTATTGGAGTTGCATTATATTTTTCTCTTGGACCAAAGGAATTGAAAGTAGCATTCTTAAAAGGATTTTGTGGTGCATATACATTATTTAAATCCTTTCCAGATGTTTATAACTTACAAACAGCCCTAGTTGTCAAGGCATCATCACCTAGATGACGAGGTACCCTTCGTGGGCACCTAACCAAAAATTACAAGGCATCACCTAGATGATGTATCAATGAAATTAATGATGCACCCTAGGCAACAAGGCAGCCGCCCATGAAACAAAAAATTACAAAGCGGGAACCTCATTGTTATATTATTACTATGGGTGCATCTCATTAATTTCATTGATGCGGTAGTTGAGTTGAGACTTATGTTTTGTTTTAGGGTTTTGAGAAGACAGAAAGAAATAAAGAAGGATAGAAAGGACCCATCTGGTTTTTCCCCTTCTTTATTCTAGAATTACTCCCTCCCTCCCTCCCATTTTCCTTTTTTTCTCTCCCTTAAATATTTTATTAGTACAAAACTATAGCATTTTTTTATCAATAACTCAAATACAAAACTATAGCATTCTTTAATTGCTAATGGTTTTTTATACGTAATTTCTCTACTAAATTCTTATTATATAAATTGACTGTTATTTTTAGTAAAGTGAATTGCTATTTTCAATTTACATGAAAGATTGATTGGTAGATAAAACTAGGGAATTAACCTAGATTATCAATTTCTGTTACTAAGTGATGCTTAAGCGAGAGGATAGGCCCTCCACTGTCACCTAATCTCCTATACGCCTTCACAACTATGCAAGCAACAAGTTTAGATAATGTCTAACAAACTAATCTAATCGAATTGCACATAGCCATCAAGCATTTCTGCTATAAATTCCCAAATAGGAGTCTATGAGACGACATAAAAAGATATATATAGAAAAGAAGAAATAAAATTAGTGTACTAAAACATTCGGAAAAAGAATGAACAACAAAGAGGAGAAAAAACCTCACCACATTGAGTGGTGCGAAGCAGACTCTGGCGAAGAGATGGGTACCGTTCCCACCTCCACCTATCATTACAGAACCGAAACAAATCCCAAAGAGCCAAACAAGATATCAATCCAAAAAGGGCAAGCGGCATCTGGTACCTGTGATCACCACAGGCGATAAAACCAACAAATTGGTTTGCAAACTAAGCTGAATTCAAGGAACGAAATTATACCGAAAAGAAAATCATACAGTGTACACGCGAATAAAAGGAGAGAAAGAGTGGCATAGTTGCGAGCATAACGCTTCAAGTTCTCCTGAACCCTCAACCTTGCCTGGGAAGGAGAGGAAGGCAAGGAGTAGGAGTCCCAGAGTCCGATGAACCCATATGTCCAGGATGGGGTCTCGCCGCCGAAGTCATCGGTTGTGAGCTTGGCAAATGGGTTTAGCGTGAAGAGAGAAAAGAAGGTACCCAAATAAGAGAAAATAATAGAGAAGAAGCCATTGGTGGTAGTGGTGACGGTGGCGACGGTGGTAGTGGAGCCGGTGGTCCTATTGGTGACGCGGTGGTGGTGGTCGGAGGAAGAAGAGGAGGAAGAAGAGCGATCGAGGTTGGTGGTTCGCTCGTCGAGGATTTCTAGGTAACCGCTGTCGCGAAGCCAGGACTCGAAGGCGGGCTCAGGGACGCTTAGAGATAACGGGTTCGCCGAGAAGGCCATTTCGACATTCGGACGGAGGTTTGTTTGGTCGATGTTTTCTGTGGAAAAATGAAAATGGAATTTTTGGATTTTTATATATTTTCGTTGTCTGGACTCTGGACTCTGGACTCTGGAGTCTGGAACGACTCACTCCGTGTCTCACGCACGTGTTTTCAAATATACAAGATTTGTATTGTTGGGCTGATTATTTGTATATGGGCTTATCTCAATCATACTCTCTTTGGATATCTGAATTTTGTGACAAGTGTGGATGTGGGCCAGATGTTTAAAGACTGGGCGGTGTATGAATTGTGATAAATGGTTAACCGACTTGATCCGACCCTGTTGGGTCGGGTTTGGGTAGTTTCGTTGGGTTTATATGAACCTAACCCACATTGGGTTCAGCTTATCATGGTCAATTAATTGACCAATAGTATGTGCACAAAGAGCTAGGACCCCTGTGGGAATGAAATTCACTCCTATTTGCAATCCACTGAATTTGCCAAACATTCACATCAGAATTTGGGCTCACACTTGTCAGCTCCCTAGCTGCCACACTAAGCTGCTTTACAAGGAAATTTCCCAATATAGCAAACTTTCTTCCTGAGGTCATTCAGAAATGCCAGACAAGTTTATCTAAATCATATCCTTGGCCAGACTAATGGAAGGAGCCCACCTGATGAAAAATCACTTTGACTAAATACCTCTAACCATCAAGAAAACAGAGTAATTTGTCCAATCAGATTGGTTTTGCACTGGACCAGCAAAGATGGATGAACAGAACGGTAAAGAACTGCCTACATAAATCGAGAATGCAATGGCTAATGGGATCTGCTGGTGATGTTAATAGAAACAACCAGTGGTTTGGTATAGTAGATAGAAAAGTGGTGGTAATTAATTGAAAGAGGTCATGATCCATTAGGTGGTGCATCAATTCTTATTGTTGTTGTTGTATTAGTGGTAGATCATTAATCCATATCCCATGAAATGAGGTCATGAATCACTAGATGATGATGAGGGGTGATTTGACCTTTCAATAACGCTATGCCATGTGGCAAATTTGGACTGCTTTATGACACCTTGGCACCACATATGGCCGGACCTTGCCTGATTAGGCCGGCTTAAGCCAGCCTCTATGAATCGGACCTCAACTAATGGAAGACTTACAGACCGCTCGATGACAACCCGAAATACATCACCTTGTAGGCGTAAGTTGAGGACTCAAGCAACCGACCTGTATCTCCGAATTAGGCAACTGATGACCTATGTGTTTAGCGGTACCGGCTTGCGTGACATGTCCGTAGAGGTGTAAATCAGGTCGTGTCGCTCGTGGTCCGACACAACGGAATGCGGGTCATGTTAGGTATGGCACGATTGTACGAATTGTGCTGGTACTAGGGTTTTAGGTTCATGGGTTGACGTGGCACTTGCATGCCAGCATTGCCTAGCACGTGGCATGGCTTGCGGTGTGGGTTCGCAGTGAATCGAGTGTGGCCTGCCCGAGAAGCTAATCGTTTCAGATTTTTTGGGGGTTTTTATAGAAATACCCCCCAATAGCTATAAACAACTATATGGAGGAGTATTTATGTATTTTGGCTTTTGGGGGACAAAATGACAAAAATGCCCCCCAATAGCTATATAATAGCTAGTTTGAGGGCATTTGGGTAAAGTGATAAATGACTTTATTATGACCAAAATACCCCTCCTAGCAACTAAAAAATGACTAGTTTTTAGGGTATTATGGGCAATTGAATTATTTCCAATTCCTATAAATAGCCATATCCTCTACCATTCTCATCATACCAATTTAACAATTCTCTTCTCATACACTCTTTATACTCTATCTCTCTACTCTTCAATTCTCAAGCCTCGACTTTATTCAAGTTTCAATAAGGAGGCTTGCTCAAGTATCTCAAATTAGCAATTTGAGAGGTGATGTAACCGTTTCTAGTCACGTACCAATTTTTTTTTGTGATGTATCAATTTTTGGCTAAGTACTTCATCATTTGACCTGCTCCCAGGTGGCCTGTGACTCGGAGGATGATGGAGCTCCCTGGTGGTGAGCTACTTAGTGGCGAACTCCCTAGTGGTGAGCTACTTGGTGACGAGCTCCCAGGTAGTGAGCTACTTGGTGGCGAGCTCCCTGGTGGTGAGCTACTTGGTGACGAGCTCCTTGGCGGTGAGCTACCTGGTGACGAGTTCCTTGGTGGTGAGCTACTTGGTGACGAGCTCCCTGGTGGTGAGCTACTTGGTGACGAACTCCCAGGTAGTGAGCTACTTGATGGCGAGCTCCCTGGTGGTGAGCTACTTGGTGACGAGCTCCCTGGTGGTGAGCTACCTGGTGACGANCTCCCTGGTGGTGAGCTACCTGGTGACGAGCTCCCTAGTGGTGAACTACCTGGTGACGAGCTCCCTGGTGGTGAGCTACTTGGTGACGAGCTCCCAGGTAGTGAGCTACTTGGTGGCGAGCCACCTTGATGAGCTGCTGGGTGTGCTACCTTAGTGGCGAGCCTCTTGGTAGTGCAACCCGACTGCCCTCTGCATGAGATGATCTGCTCCTCTTTGTAGACGGCGGGAGTCGAGGAACCTACGGGAACTGAATCAGAGGACCCGGGGGTGTTTACCCGGCAAGGCCACTCCGATGGCTAAGTTAGCACTCTGATAGTAGAGAGCTTGAAGATGATATTAGAGAAATGAGAGAGCTAGAGAGCAGGGGTTACCTCCATTTTTCATCCTCCTCCCCCTCTGGGGGGTCGGAGCTCTTATATAGCGGTGTCCTGACAAATCTGACATAACCGCCTCTAATTCTCTGTTACAGCCGTTACTTGCCAAGGCTGAGCTTGTGGGCGCAAGTAATCGTTACAGGGTACGGCCCTGTCAGACATGAGGCGTTGTCAGAGTTGGCAGGCACGACGCCGCCTAGCCAGAGACGTGGGTGCAGTCTCCAGATCTGGCAAGTACGGTTGTCAGGTAGGAAAATCTTCCTGCGATACGCTGAGCTGCTCAGCAATGAGCTACCTTGCACCGAGCTACTTTTTACCGAGCTACTTTTCACCGAGCTGCCGGTAATGTGCCGAGGTGCTTCTACCCGAGGCATGTCTTTGTGGCCTAATAGGAGGCGAGCTGCCTGTAAGTGGCCAGCTGCTTGTAAGTGGCGAGCTACCTATGGCGAGCTGCCTATAAGTGTCGAGCTGCCCCTAAGTGGCGAGCTACCTATGCCGAGCTACCTGTAAGTGCCGAGCTGCCCCTAAGTAGTGAGCTACCTATGGCGAGCTGCCTATGCCGAGCTACCTGTAAGTGGCGAGCTGCCTGTGAGTGGCGAGTTGCCTGTAGGTGACGAGCTGCCTGTAGCTAGCTCGAGTTGTCTAGTTGTCAAGAGGCTGCACTTAGTTGGCATGAGGTGCCAGGTGTCATAATTTCACTGGAGGGCCAAATCCGCCCTCATCAGGAGGCTTGCAGGATTCAACCGTTGAAATCAAGTTGAGATTTTGAACCAGAAATACGAGTAAGTGCAATTAAATTAATTTTTATTTTTTTTAGAATTAAAATAAAGGGTTGAATCCTCCTGAAACCAATTCTCTAACATGTTCAATGTCGACGATGTTCAGTTGCAACATGATAGTGTTAACACCAATATGGATGCTACTGATATTACCGGAGTTCCCACCTTTATTACTGCTATTAGGGAAAATAAAAAGAAGGGCACTAAATTGACTGGCCTAGTTTGAAAAATATTTAAAATAGAGGAGGTTGAGGGGAAGGGAAAAAGAGTCGTTTGCTAAAAATGTATGAATGACTTTAGCTACTATAGCTAGGGGTGTAAACGGCATTTGAAAATCCGATTTCGATATTCGATACAATTGAATCAAATTCGGATAATTCGAAGATCTAATCAGTCAAATTCGGATATCCTATTCATACCAAATAGTTAATCGGATTTGATAAATATCCGAATTCGATCGGTTATTTAATTCTTATATATAATATATAAAGTATTTTTTATATATAATAATTTAGTTATATAAATAATTTATATATTTATATACTTTATATCAATAAAATATTTATTTTATATATTTATTAATTATCTAAAATAATTAATTAATCGAATCAAATATTCGAATATTTAATCGGATTCGAATTCAGATATTAATTTTCAATATCCGTCGGATATTGAATCGAATTCAGATATCGGATTATCTAATCGGATTCGAATTCGGATAATGTCTGATCCGATTCAAATTCAATCCGTTTACACCCCTAACTATAGCAAGGGTACTAGCCAGTTGGACAAACATTTGCTCTCCCATGAGAAACAAGAAGAAGAAGAAGAAGAAATATTTAATTAGGTTCGAATTCGGATATTAATTTTTAATATTTGTCGGATATCAAATTGAATTCAAATATCAGATTATCTAATCGAATTGGAATTCGGATATTGTCTTATCCGATTCGAATTCGATCCGTTTACACCCCTAACTATAGTAAGGGGATACTAGCCAGTTGGGCAGACATTTGCTCTCCCATGAGAAAGAAGAAGAAGAAGAAGAAGAAGAAGAAGAAGAAGAAGAAGGGAAAGAAAAATCACAAACACAAATTGGGCGTGGGGGTTTTGGTACTTTTAAATATTCTTAAGAAAAATGAAGCAAGAGTTAGAAAAATATATTGTACATGTTGAACACCATTTTTATTAGCTGAAGATACTAAACTTGAAAGATTTTTACATAATTTTGTAAATCCATATTTTAAAAAAGTTTCTAAAAATACTATTAGAACAAATGCTTTGAAAATTTTTTATTCACATAAACAAAATTTAATTTCTACTTTATCAAATCTTAATTCTATAGTTGCAATTACTTCTAATATTTGGACCTCTAATTTTAATATAATTTATATTTGTGTTACTAATCATTTTATTGATGAAATTGGCTTTTACAAAAAAAGAATTTTAAGTTTTACTAGGCCTGAATAGCTCTATAATGGCCAAACTATTGCTGTAAGTATTTTAAGTACTTTACATGCTTATGGAATTGAAAATAAACATTTTTCTATTAGTTTTGATAATGCCAGTAATAACGATTCAG